AACAGAAGTGTGAATGAGGCAAAAGTAATAGCAATATGGGAGAACAACATAGTTTCGTTGGATATTATAAATCACAAGGAGTGGATGCATCTGTGCCAGCCATTGAGAACGATTTTGAGCTAGACATATCACAGATTGTCTCCAGCCTTCATTGGTCCTTACCATATGGAGGACTCCAACCAGCGTACACTTCTACACCTGCCTACGTCGCTGGCCAGCTTCAACTAACTGTTGTGGATTTCATTGACTGATGAATCCATGGTTTGGTTTGACCACTGCCAGGTGTCTTCCAACCTAATCCATTCTGTATTAGCTATCATCGTCCGTCGTCGAGGAAGGTGATAGCTAGGCATGCACAACACATGTCCTAACCATCTCTCTCAATCGATGCAGCTGCTTCGCAACTTCGTCTGTTGCTTCCCCCTTCTTAGCTAGCACTCACTGGACGCTTAACCTCAATATTGCTCATCCTAGTATACCACTACATTACACGGGAGATAGAACGCAGACACCTATGATCAAAAACAGCTAGCCTGACTTTTCATGTCTTCCACTTTCATTGGCCATGTCATATTCACAGCCATAAAGGAGGGCGGAGCGAACTTCTGAGAAGAACATACGCCCTTTGGTCGACAGCCGGTCAGATATCACGTCTACTAATCCAGAGATGGTGTAAGTTGGCGGGCATATGCCAGACGAGTCTTCTGTATCCGTGGTAAGATTTCGTCAGTGGTCAACCCGTGGGAAGGGTGACCATAATTCTAAATGAATTCAAACGAAGCACTAGTCTTTTGAAAGCTGAGTAGTGTGTACACAAGAGAATAGTCGATGTATATACAAGTATATAAGCTAATGTGTGAGATATGCGATTATGTATTGATTGAGACATCACTATCCAAACTCACATGTTGCAACAACGGCTGTCAGTTTGTTAGTAATTTATAATTGCAATGAATGAAGAAGATGAACAATGCTCAAAAAATAAAAGATTATATAATTAAGATAGGATTATGATCATAATAATAATACTGATAGTAACACTCGTTTATTAGTATTTACTGGTTTTACTAGTAACAAAAATATCAAATTTGTTGCCAAAAGGAGACAGTTCATTGTGCCATTGACTGGTAGTAATGGTTGTATTCCTTTGCATTCCGAGTGGGAAATACGACTTGAAGTTGAAGTAGCAGTGGTCTTGTTTTTACGCGTAGAGGTTGTTAGCCTCACACCTAACCTTCCCTCTTCACCGGATTTACTACCGGGAATCGAACCCCGTACCACTCGTGAATTTGGTGATTATCTTACAAATGAACCGGCAAAGCGCAAACAATAACTACAAGAGTAAAACCGTGCATGACCTAATAATGTATTACATACAAGGTGGGAAGAAATCACTGGTAAGAATGAATAGTGAGTAAAGTATATATATATATATAACTGTTGATTGATGTGTTCAAACACTTGACTTCTAACCAATTAAGTGTTGGTTTCGAAGTCTGCTCCACTTACTGAGACATCACAGCAAACAAGTAGAATCATAAGTTGTCGTGAGGTATAAATGTCAGTCATAGTATATAGGAGAATTTCGCCCTGTGTAACTGAGTCGTATCATTGTTATAATTACTTTATTGTAACCCAGGTATTGTGAATATACCTCTTTTCAGTCAATGCCAATACGAATGCATCCGAAAAAGTTCATTTGCTTTATATGACTTCTGTTATATCAGATTTGGCTGTATATTAGCGTAGTTGTTCATTTCGTCGCCAAATTACTGTTTATCTTGAACAATATGAACAACTCTCATAGTTATTATTTTGTTTGAATTAATATTTGTTTTTTTCCTGTTGATACTGACTGAACCGAAATACTAAGCTTCTGTTGACATTTAAGCTTCTTCCTAGTAAATGCGCTTCGATGATGTCTGATGGTGTTGTTGTTTGATGGATGGTGACTAGCAGCGGAATCCAGGACACGCGCATTTCGTTCTGTTCAGGGATCGTCTTTTGGATGGACTTGCAATCCCACTGAGAGTCGAACCCAGCACCCTCCATTTCAAACACCGAATGCGCATCCTCCACTCCACCGCTAGTCACTATCCACTAAATAAAACCCTATTAGTTATTTAACGGTTTTGAAACCGAACACACTGTGGGCCCCAAGTGAAATAATTTAGTAAGGTTACTGTGCATTAGCTGGACATTCTAGTACAAGGTGAGACAAGGATTTCAAAGATAGGCAGTATTAGTGCTCACAGATACCTGAACAAATCTCGCTGGCTGACCCCTGAAACACTTCACCGAAAAGTGCCCAGTTACCATGTTTGGGAAGATTTAGATAGATATTAAAATTATTTATGTTTTTCATTTTCCCCTTTGCAGCTTGTCATTCTGTCGCCTACGGGTTTCCAGTCTATCTATTCCTCGTCGTAGAAGAACAACAGCAAGAAGTGATTGAAAGGGAGAGAGAGAGAAACAGAATAGTTTACTGTATATAAAAGTTTGTACTGTCTTCACTTTTTATCATATAAATGTATATATAATTTTATTTTCCTATCTTTTCATTTTTAAACCACGCACTTGGTGTGGATTTGATTCCCGTCTGACGCGCTTTTAAAGTTTGCTTAGTTTGCCAGTTGATAGGAAACACCGTGAAGAAGAAAATTAGGCGTGAGACCAGTAACAATGTTGCAAGTGGAACTTCAAAGCTTAAAGCCCTGTAATCCATCCAGAGAGCGAAGAACCAACTATCTTTTTATTTTATTCACTCTACGATTTTTAGTAATGATGAACATGCACTTTCCTTCCTTTGTCTAATTGTTTACAATCTAAAAAGTGATAGGTCATGTGTACGTACTTCAAACGACAGGAAAGAATAGATTATCGATCACGAATGCGGGCATTGTATGAATAAAAATATGGCAAGAGTAAAACGATAGCAAGTTGATGACTGATTGGTTTCAACGTAGAATTTTGCACAGATGTGCAGCAGTTCCAGTTGCCACTCTCCCTACATGTACCACCAAAGCAAGAAAAGACAGATTCAAAACAGAGATAATAAACAGAAGTGTGAATGAGGCAAAAGTAATAGCAATATGGGAGAACAACATAGTTTCGTTGGATATTATAAATCACAAGGAGTGGATGCATCTGTGCCAGCCATTGAGAACGATTTTGAGCTAGACATATCACAGATTGTCTCCAGCCTTCATTGGTCCTTACCATGTGGAGGACCCCAACGAGTCAGTCAACACCTCCCTACGCTGCTGGTTGAAACTGACTGTTGTGGTTTTCATTGGTTGATGAAGCTATGTTTGAATATATATATATATATATATATATATATATATATATATATATATATAAAGGATCCTGTAGCGCCCTTAAAACAAAACAATTTAGTTTATCTCATACCCTGTAGTGATTGTCAGGTCAAATACATAGGTCAAACTAGTAGAACAGGGGCAGTCAGACTAGCTGAACATAAAAACCTAGCAAAATCTCGATTGGTTGACCCAAATAAGATAAGAAATCTAGAGAATAGTTCAGCTATAGCACTACATGCAGTTACACACGACCACACAATAGGATGACGGTTTTAAAATCTAATGTCACAGGGTATAGGGAGAGATTGATAACAGAAGCTTTGTTTATCGAATCAACTACAAATACATGTAACAGGAATGATTCATCACCTATCCCCGATATCTGGAAAATTCTACTACCCAAACGACAAATAGGAGAGAACGAAGAAAACTATAAAACTCAAGTGTCAAAGTCGTGTGATTATAATTGATATGATTATGAACAATAAATTTTGTCCGAAACGTCATCCAGTAAATAATACTGTTTCACTGTGTGATATATCAAATAAACAAACTAATATGAATATAACCACCACTAATTGTTTTCCAACCTGATCCTATGTCAGTCAGCCAATATTGCCCGTCGAGGAAGGCTATCGCTAGGCATGCGCGACACGTGTCTTGACCATCTCAATCGATGTAATTTCACAGCCTTGTCTATTGATTTCCTCTCCTAACCTAGATATCGACCGACGCCTAACTTCAGTGTTGCTTGCTCTATTATATCACATCACACGGGAGATAGAACGGACACACCTATGATCAAGTGCTGATCAGTACTTACGCCCTTTTGCCGACAGCCGGTCAGATATCACGTCTACTAATCCAGAGATGGCGTAAGTTGGCGGGCACATGCGAAACGAACCTTCTGTATCCGTGGTGAGATTTCGTCAGTGATCAATCCGTTGGGACTGATGCAACTTGTAATATAAGTGAAATGGTCAACACGTTCTACTACTTTACTTCCTATCGTTAAACCAGGAGTCAATTAAGTCCAGTCCTGTAGTATATTCTTACGTTTGACAGGAGCGAATCGCAAAAGCTTATCTTGGTCAATCCTTCTCTATTAATACCAAATATTGTATTATTTATTGAATCCCTTTACGTTTCAAGTGGAACATATGGGGCTTCAAATTTTCAGAAGCCGTGGTGTTTATTTTTCGAGGGAGGGTTACTAGCCGCACACCAAACCTTCCCGGTCTTACTATTGGCTTAATTTTTTTTTATTATAGAGTGATTCCTCACCGTATTTTTGGTACAGGTATGGAACTTTCAGCATATGATATCGGTAGCCCAAATTTTGCAGGCCAACCATTGATATCAGGTGTGCGTCGGCAGGGGATTGAACCCCAGACTGTGTGCATGGTCGGCGAGAGTCCTAAACAGCTGTGGCATCGACTCATTACGAAATTATAGTGTTAATTATTCCTATTCTTAAATCCTTTATCACTTTGTTTGTTTTAATCGACCTCTTAGGTTTCATATACATCGATTCGACAAGTAAATGTGTGTGATTAGATTGTTCGGGATGTATTGCGCAAATACATCACGTTTTCTGTTCAGATGAACTCCATCTTCGCTAATAAAGCGGTCTAAATTTATACTAGCGCTTATTCACACTGCACTAGGATTTTGATTCTCTTTTTAAGATACTATGAAAGTTGATAGAACACGGAGTACACAAAAAGGTCAAGCGTAAGTAGATTTGCATCACCTGGATCGGCGTTGACTTAACTAAATTCATCCACTAGTTTCACTTGTCTCACACGCCTCCAGTTGAGCAAGCTTATACAACCAAAACTAACAGTCAATCCTGGATATCATGTTTTGATTTCATCAGAGTTTTTCTTTCATTACGATTTACGTGTCACCAACTATCAACTGAATACTTACCACAACTACCTAAAACTCAACTGCCATTGTCCATACAGCATTACACCCAGTAAAGAACAGGCTTATAAACAAGTGAAGGTCTACTTTTTGCCTACTATTATCCATGTTTTACAGATAAAGGAGAGTAGTACACAATCGAATGTCTCATCTCCAGTGCGCAATTCCGCTTAACTGAACTCATCTCGTTCTTACCATGATATTTAGAGCTATAATTATACAAGTTACCAAAATAAGCCCCATTAATTTCGCTTCAAGAAAATAGTAGTCTCATGAATTCACATTCGCATAACTCACATTGCGAATGAAAAAAATCCGAAATTTAAGATTGACTGGTTATAGAAAAAGTTATTATACGACCTTAAAGAATAGTTTAGTACATATGAAATTGTATATAAATCATGTTTCACACGTGTTTATGTTGTTTAGTATTCACAGTGAAAGTAATTGACGAAAAACCAATTGTCGATAGCAAACGTTGATCAGTTGATCTAAAACAGTCATTAAAAACTGCGGAGTGAAAGTTTTTCAAATGAAGAATAAGCCTTTTACACCAAACAGTTGGGTGGTTGTAATTCTTCTACAAGCAAAAACGAATTCTATGAGTTGAAGTATAATGGAAAAATTGATTCCCTTGTACAAAAAAGAAATTTGAAGTTTGCTACATCTGTGTATAAGCGCTTGTGTGAATGCGTAAAAATCTGCAAAGTCAGTGTACACAACACACAAGGTGTAAATAGTAGTGTATTATAAATAAATCAAACTGACAAAAAAAGGGATCAAATACAGTTTCTGAAAAGATATACACACAGGCAACATCATATAATTGCAATGATGATTAATCAACTGTTGACGCGCCAAGTTCACTTGTTGCTGTTGCCGGTGTACTCTTGTCTCGATTGTTGCTCTTCTGTTTACTACTCTCAGCTGTTGATGCTTGTTTACGACCACTTTTCTGTTGTTTTCCTGTCTGTAGCTTTGCTTCTGCTGCGCGCTTAGCAGCAGCTAAACGTTGTGCTTCACGGGCTGAAATCATATAGAAAATATATGTATATAGTCAAAGCATCATCACATCAAAATGAGGAATTCAATATGAGCGCCTTAATTTAATAAACTGCCAGCTACATGCCATGCGAGAGTATCTTTTAGAACATTGGGGATGAAATTTGTATTCATTGAAGAACAAAAAATAGACACCTTCTTAAGTGACAGAATCTCTGAGTTAGTAATGCTGTCGTCTCTAGCAACAAATTACATGAAGAGACTTTGGGAATATGCTCATCGATGACAGTAATCACAATGAGGCTTTATTTACATATTTAGTCATCTAGTTTGCCAAGCCCAACAACCACCTTTCCCAGATTACATGAATTCTCTTTAAAATGAGCCCAGTGGAAACTAGTCAACAGACGAGAAGTTTTCCTCTCGTGGAAGAAAGGCACAACTGACGGCTTCAAAGTATTCGATATAAAGAGGTTGTACAAGTGTGCACTGTTGTCCTAACTGTCTTCTGACAATAGGATGAAGTTTTTGCACTTTTGCACACTTTCTGTCTTCATCACTGATACTTGAAAGTTACTCACAACATAACTAATGTTGTGTTATGCAGTTTCTATTATGTTTTGATTCACACTATTCATTAGTGCATTTAAACTTTTTAAAATCTGTTTTCATGCGAAAGTACAGCGGCCTGCTTAAAATTTGGGCTACCATAAACAACGAAACGTACTGCTCAGCAGTTCGCTCTGTCCTTCTCTATGGCTCTGAAACATGGCCAATACGAGTTGAAGACATGAAGAGGTTGACTGTTTTTGAACATAGATGTCTACGATCTCTTTCGCACGTTAGGTGGTTTAATAAGGTAAGTAATGTTGACGTTAGGCGTAGAGTGTTGGGCAAGGAGGGAAAATCAATCGAAGAGGCTATAAAGTTACATAGATTGAGATGGCTAGGTCACGTGCTGAGCATGCCTAACCATCGTCTCCCCCGACGGGCATTACTAGCTGATATATGTGCAGGTTGGAAAAGAGTAAGTGGTGGCCAAACAAAAACATGGCATCAATCCATGAAATCCCTGACAGTTAAACTGAGTCAGGTGGGGAGATACAGGCTTCCGGGTTGGGGCCCTCGGGACTCTAAGAATCAATGGCTGGAGACAATAGGTGACATGGCTCAAAATCGTTGTCAATGGCTTACGCAGATGTATTCAGTCTCTGTAATCTTTCATATCCCTTTCTACCATTACTCATTCTGTTTCACTCGTATACTTGTCAAAACTCTATTGATTCTCTTCACTTATTTTCTTGTCTACCTTTGTGTGCTATTTGGAATGTGGTAACTCGAAATGCTGCACTTCGGTGCCAAGTTCTATGTTGAATCCAGACAGACAGACCTGTATCATTATAATATGGTATGGAATTTCTCGTGTTCACCTTTATTTCAATCATTTAAAATATGACAGCTACTCTCGCCTATATTTAAATTTTCTACACCCTGTTTATTCGCAGTTGTCTATTAGACATGGGAAAAAGCATGGATCTCAAAATGTACTCCGGAACTTTTTACTATTGTCTTTCAAACAAATGTCGTGCATTTATCGGGGGGAGACAAAGAAGGAATATCATAGAGGATTGATCTTCAATTCTTGTCAGATAGCATTGTGTCACAGGATCCATTATAGATTAATATATTTTACTTGAAGATCCCAGCTGAAGAGAAAATAGCATGCAATAAACTCTGTTGAAATATTTTGCATATTATATAAACACTTTACGAAATAAAGCTATTATCATTATTATTATTATTACTCAAAGCATTTTCTAACGTTTTTTGCAATCATTCTTCAAGGATTTACCACAGAGCCACAAAATTTATGGTACTACATAACTTCCTAACCATCGCTTGACAAAAATAGCAGCTGTGTGTGTGACCTGGTTGGAAACTATAATAAACCCACTTTCTACACACACACACACACCTTAAAGTCTATATGCTTTTTTCAGTCTCTTAATTATTACTATGTACAGGTAAAATAATAATAATAATAATACTGGAGAAGATATATGAGATTACCTTGCCTTTCTTGTTCAAGTTTTTGAGCGGCTAATTCACGTTCTTTCCTGACCAATTGAAGACGTGCTAAGTTAACGGCTAATTCACTTTCTGACTGTAACTTTAACGGGTCTACAACAGCTTTAGATGAAGCTAACAGTTCTTTCTTTGAAGGTCTGATAAACAATAAAAAGTAATTAGAAGAGAGAGTATTCACAACAAACCACACAAATGACATCATGCTTTATTTTTATAAAAATAACCAGACACACGATTTAGTATCATTACTTTGTCATAATCTCCTACAAAGATGCAAATACTTCATCACACTTCTGAATACATAACCAAACTGGACGATAGACGGATATTTCAATGCAGATTTCTTGACCAAACTCCTAGCAATCAGCTTAATATCATAATTGCTTCAGAACAAAGTTAGATAGAGCGAACAATTGTGTGCTTTCAATAAATTCTTCTTCAGGCTCTACAATTATAAATCCATTAATTTAAGCATACCATAGCCTGCCAGTCAGTAAAGGCAAATTAGAATAATATCAGACAGTGTATTGTGGAATAGGTGTAAGATGGGATGGAACAATAGTCAGTTAGTTTTTGAATATGCATGGTCAGTGAGAGCATGAGATAAAATAGGATGAAATAATAATTATTGGTGTGTGTATACACATATACAAACATAGTCAACAAAAGTACCAGGTTTCGAGGATGAGTGTAATCAGTGATGTGGGAGACAGTATGAATACTACAGAAAATAAACCGGATGTAAGTTCAAGGGTGAAAATAACGACAATAATAATAATAATAATTGTGAAATAATAACGATGATGTGGTGCAAACTTAAAAGTACTACTGGTGAATGATTGTCAAATAATAATAATGAAGTGGAATGAACAGGATTTTGTAAATACGATAGCAAGTTAGGAAAAGCACTACTTAAACCTAAGGTAAGTGAAATCATAAGAAAGGTCACGAAGTCGTAAAAGGTCAGAAATGAAACGTTTGTCAATGAAACAAAAGAATTTAAAGTGCTCATATTTATGGAGGATTTGTAGACCAAGATAAACGGAGCTGTTGGATATAAATTCTCCTATATACAAAGACCTGGTCTTCTGCTATTGACTGCTACAGCTTCAGCTACTAATAGAAGACGTGGTCGAGCTCCTCTAGATAGATTACCAGGAACGCAGTAAATAACTGAGAACGCCTGGTCATGTTTTATCGAGTGTCCGGTATCTACCTGTGGTTTACGTGGACGCATGGATAAAGCCCTCTGAATATGTAACTAGCTTCACATTAGTGGTTGAATTCATAGATGCACATTGATGAGATGGTAATTTATCATTGACTCAGTGTGTGAGTACCGGTTTAGTTGAGAAGTTGAGTACCAGTTTAGCTGCAGGAAATGTTCTCTCTACTGCTCTGTTAAGTACATATTTTAAAATGTCAATTGCAATCTCCCCTTTGTGACTTAACTTAGGATACAAAGACTTTTCATCTACGGTAGCCATCGTTACCCTTTCTCTAGGTATCGTTGGTTTATTTTCTGTAGTATTCATACTGTCTCCCACATCACTGATTACACTCATCCTCGAAACCTGGTACTTTTGTTGACTATGTTTGTATATGTGTATACACACATCATTAAATTAAATTACTTCATCTGATTTTGTCCCACGTTCTCATTGGCCATGCATATTCAAAAACTAACTGACTATTGTTCCATCCCATCTTACACCTATTCCACAATACACTGTCTGATATTATTCTAATTTGCCTTTACTGACTGGCAGGCTATGGTATGCTTAAATTAATGGATTTATAATTGTAGAGCCTGAAGAAGAATTTATTGAAACCACAATTGTTCGCTCTATCTAATTTTGTTCTAATATGATTCCATGGAATAACTTAGTTTCTCTCTATCTAAATATATGCCCATTGAAACTTTTTCAAAAGAATGGTTACTGAAGAAAGAACATTCTTTTCGATAACTTCATCTTCAGGTTCCACAGTTATACATTTCTAATAGTGAATGAATTAGTGTTATTAACAATATGAATGTTGTTTAAATAATATAGAATCAATAATAATAATACCAATGGATTACAGTTCAGAAGTATCAACATAACACTACACTGAATATCAAACAGAAAAATAATACTACAAATTCATGAATTTGGCTGGACTTGTTTCTTTTGTACCCAGAGCACAGGTTGTTTAAGGTAAATCGTGATAGCCTCTCCTGTTTGAGTATGCATGTACAGAAGTATATGTTTGTGTACACGAATATGTTGTTCAAGAAATGTTTATGACAATAGGAGTACTACACAATGTTTATTCCTTCAGAAGACATGAAATCATTTATTCTTGAATTAGTGTTCGCTAATACTTCAGACCAGCGTCAACCGTGAAGCAATTTCGAAACTACTACAACACTTCGGGGTACCCCGAACCTTTAACAACCTCTTTCAACAGATACATGGTGATTTCACATACCAAGTGATTCACGGTAAAATGCTCAGAAAAATCTTTACAGTGAAGGAAACAGTGAGAGACAAGGTTGCCTATTATCACCAGTGATATTCCCAATTGTGGAATCGATCATGTGACAGACTGTGCATAGGGGGTGACAAAACAGGCGTGTTTTGGACCGACAAGAACACTCCGAAAGAACTGAACTTCACGGATGGTTTATGTACAGTGTCACACAAACCTGAAGATATACCAGCAAAACAGACAAAGTGACAGAAGATGCAGGAAGCAAAGACGGGATTTCAAGTGAACATAGAGAAGATACAGGTGGTGAAAATACCTAAACAACAACACAATCACCATCGATGGCAGAAACCTTTTACACTTATCTAGTCAGCATTGTGTCAACCATAGGTGACACATATGAGGGTGACAAAACCAGGATGAAAAAGGTACACTGAAATCGATATGCAAGACTATTGAGCTTAGTATAAAGGACGAAATCTGAATTCTTATCACCAACGTGTAGTCAGCGGTTTTATATGGGTTAGACACCTGGTGCATCACGAAAAGCATTTCCAACAGGCTGCAGACAGACTTTTGTTAACAGCTGCCTTCGCTCCATGGTGAAGGTCAGTCAGATCACCATCGTCAGAAAGCATAAGCAATAAAGAACTCTGGCAACGAATCAACCAGGAGCCTATTAGCTAGCAAGTATGCAGAGTAAAATGGAGGACTGAACATACGTGCTGAGGAGACCGTTGAGTGATACCATGCACCACACTCTCGAGTGGAACCTAGATGAGAAATAACGAGTTGGGCTTCTATCCCACTGAGAGGGTGAAACATGAAGGAGGCGACAGTATGAGGAGGAGATGAAAGCTTATGGGAAAGCGTGTTGTGAGTTAATTTAGACTAAAGAGGACACAGTGGGATGGAGATATTCCACTCGGAATCCAAGGGAATAATATAATACTGTCAAGAATATGACCAAATTCATTTATCTATGATAAAGGGAAATTAATTCAAATACTCTAGAATCCCACTAGCTTTAAAAAAAAGCTGTGTAACGCTAGCATTATCATCAAACCGGATATGTTTGTTACCAACTTCCTGAAAGAGACATTTTTGAAGACTTGAATGTTGATCCATCGATCTTGTGTCTATCAGCCTAATGACCTCTAGAATATCATCACACATATTGTAGACCAATAATTGTTGGATTTCTTTCTATTCGACCTGACTTAATTCGTTGGACAGAACCTCTTCTTGAAAACACTTGCTAAAAACAGGTGTCACTGGATAGTTTTATTAGCACTCTAAAAAGCCCTACCGCAACAGTACCTCAAGCAGACTAGGACCGTGCAAACTACCGGTGACCACTGTTATCAAGCGACCAGCAGGGTAGCATAGAGGTGTTCCACCTTACTAACCCTCTTCAACTTTGTCATCGACAGCATTCTAGAAATAGTTTCGAAGAATGTAGGACATGATGTATATGTGCCAGCTGAAACAAAATACTATTCTGTTTTGAACATACATATTTGGTGATTAGTATCCGGAATTATTGTATATGCTTTGTGTTGTCCAAGTGCAAACTGCTTTTGCAGGATAGACAAGATCACCTTATGATGGGAATTGACAGAAACAGTCGAACAGTGTGTGTGTGTGTGTCTTAATGGCAATTTTAAGTGCATATGAAACTAGCAACATTTGTTCTTACACTACACTACCAGAGAGCTGAATTTGATACTTTATAAAACTCTGCATTATTCATCATAGTCATCCTGGCTTATGGCTTATAAGTGAAAAGTGCACTTAATATGCTTGCCTACTAAGAATTTATTTCAGGACTGAAACGAATTTTATACTATTCGTAATTACTGATGAATACACTGAAAATACTGACCAAGTGATTTCCAACATAGGACTCTACACAGTTGTGCAGCAGTTCAAGTTGTCACACTGCATACAGCATACAAAGGTAGAAAATAAACAGATTCAAAACAATTACAATGAGCCGAAATGTACTGCACAAAGGAATAATAACATCGAAGAACATGGGGATTTAATAGATGTGAGAGATTACAAAGAGTGAATGCATCTAAACCACTCAGATTGATTTTGAGCCATTTCACTACTAATCTCCAGCCATTGATTCTGGCATCTCGATGACCTCAACCAGACAGGCTATGCCCCTTTACGTGGGAGGCCTAAACCAATTAATATAGACTTAATGGATTGATAATGCGCCGGTGACACAGCGGTTAAGACACTCACCGACCATGCACATGGTCCGGCGTTCGATCCCCGGCCGACGCAATCCTCTACCTTGCTAAGCCAGTAATATGACTGGTAAAGAGGGAAGGTTGGGTATGAGACTAGCAACCCCATCCCGTAAAAATAAATACCACTGCTACCGAAACTTCAAGCCTGCAGCTTGAAGCCTTACGTTCCACTGCGAACGTGAAGGAATAAATAAAAAAGTAATGGATTTATGTCGGGTTTTGGTTTGACCACCTTAATTCTTTTTTAACCCAAACCGATGTCCGCTAACATTGCACGTCGAGGAAAACGATGACTCGGTAGGCGAAACATGTGCTCTAACGGTCTCAATAGATACAGCTTCACAATCTCACCCATTGACCTGTCCTCCCTATCTGCCACTCTATAGCGAACCACATTATTAACTATGTTATACTACTGAAGACGAGAGTTAGAATGTGGACACCTATGTCAAAGATAGGTATCCTCTTCAAGTCTCCCACTCGCAACATCCACGTCTCACAACTATAGAGGAGAGCGAACTGCTGAGCACTACACATATACGCCAAAACTGATGTCAGTTACCAGATGGCACACGAATTTTTTGTATACGTGTTGAGATTTTATCAGCAATCAGTTCATTAAGGCTGACACACAACCACCTCTCAAATAAGTGAAGTGGTCAACACCCTCAACAATTTTACTCCCTATATATACAAGCTAGGAGTCAGTGTAATTGACTGCTTCAGCTTATCTTATATTTGACAAAGGCGAAAAGCATACACAGCTGAACTTTACTCCGAAAACTGCTCCCTTTAAGTTTATCAATTTAGGAGATACAATGAAAGTAACATTAACAGGGACAATCGGTTACCATAATATTATGAATTTCGACAAAACGATAAGAAGAGGTAGTGTATCTGAAATGTGTAATGTATTTGTGCAACATATTTCGGACATTTTGATCACACACACACACACACACACACGTACTTGTCATATACAGAAGGCAAGGTAACATGAATTATTACAATACAGGTTAAACTGTGTGTACCCACACCCTTGCGTCATCTCCCTACCCATTTTTGTGACCTTGACCCGTACACAATTCAACCTGTATAGTAATACATAACAGTGTATGACAAGTATGTGTGTGTGTGTGTGACGAGAATGTCCGAGATGTGTTGAGCAAATACATTACACGCTTGAGATAAACTATGTCTTTTTATTGTGTTGTCGAAATATCATAATATTTCCGTATATGATTAATAAAGTAGACATAAGGTGTACCAAATTACAGTGAATCTATATACTAAAAACCTATGAGAATGTTGTCTAACTATGAAAAAACAAGTAACTTACACAACTGAATTAGAACCTTTCATATGATTTGGATTACAAACTTCTATTAGATGGCTAACACCTTTATGACGTCCAGTTGCGTTTTCGTCTTCGCTATCACTATCATCATCGTCATCATTATCCCCACTCACAGAATCATCAACGTTACCGTCTTGGGATTCTTTCAGAGAGGAACCACCTTCGGTAATATTGTCTCCTCTGATTAGCTGAAAAATATTAAGAAACACCGAGAGATAATATCATGAATGTAGAAGAAACAAATGCATAGTAATAATGATTAGCCAAAGAACATGGTACATGGTTCGTCTGTTAATACCAAATTCGACCTGGTAATACTGATGAACCGGCAAAGTCTTACCTCATATCTAGAGGAGACATGATGAATTGAGATTTTCACTGTTTCATTAGATTTTCCCTACCCCTTGCACAACTGGTAGAAGACAGTAGGCAGTATGGAAGCCTCTGAAATGACAATTCAAATACATGCTCAAGCCCCTGAGTTCGGAGTTCTAAAAAGTTATCATCTATTAAAAAAGCTCTCCACTTTCTTCAAAAAATCACCATATCTCTGACAGTAGTAACAATATGGAAATCTAGTGGATCTATGTTACTGCTCGTTATGTTTGGTGTCTCTACAGCCGCTGGGGGATTTTGAAATCAATGAGTAAATGGAACAAGTGATAAGCAAATGAAAATCGAAGGATCACTTGCTTTGATTCCATAGCGTTGGTTAGTAACAATCCGAGATGTGTAGGAAGATTTGTGGAAGTTTATTTACACCTCCCGTACATGAATTTTGTATTGGACGGTTAAGCACTTGTTCTGTTATGTCAATGATGCTTGCCAAATGAAGGACGTACAACGCGTGTTCGCCCATACTCTCTGCATCCACAGTAGATAACCTAAGATCTAGTTCAGTTTGATATTTGGCTGCAGTAGCAGACGCAATCAATTTATTTATATCAACCTGTTAAGGATGAGGCTTATGATGGAAAAAATTTAACATACACATTGACTTATGATGGGAATTCAGATCAGTGCTCGGGTGAGAGTGCCAGCTTTGTATGAATTCACACCATCAATTTTTTTATATTTCTTTTACGTTCCCGGTGGAACATAGAGCTTCAAGTTGGAGGCTTGAAGTTTCGGTAGTAGTGGTGTTTATTTTTACGGGATACCTCATGCCCAAACTTCCCTCTTTACCAGTCATTTTACTGGCTTAGCGAGGTAGAGGAGTGCGTCGGCAGGGGATCGAACCCCGGACCACATGCGTGGTTGGTGAGCATTCTACCGCTGTGTGCCACCGACGCAACACCATCAGTAACTGATAGAAATATGATCTATCTGAATTTAAAATTGAGTAACAGAGGGAAGACGCCAGATGGCACTTCAGCGATGGCTGCACCCGTTAGAAACAGATTGCGATATCCATCGATGTTTTTTCATAATCTCTGACCAACTGAAGTTCATACGAAATAAAGAATGAATGAGTTATATCAAAAGTTGTCCAGTTTGCTGCTAAAAGTAAAACGCTCAGAAATAGTCGTCCTAGTCGATGACTTTAATGTTCAAGCAAGGAGGCCAGGTCGGTCGGGAAAGCATACTGTCGACACCTGTACAGTCGCAAGCTGACCCAATCGTGATCATCCCCTATAGCATTGTTTAGAAAATCACCTGTTCCTGGACAACACTAACTTCAAACATAAAGAGAGAAATTACCTAACCTGGCTACCTCTATCAACAAACCAACGATGGATTCAAATAAATCACATAGCTATAAGCCATAGATGGACAGAGTCAGTAGAAGACCACTGCTCCTTATGAAACACATGCATAGACTCCGATCACCGCCTAGTTCGAGCGTGCATACACCTACGATTAAACGGACACAGAAAACAGACATATATAAAGCCACTAAGCCTCTAACTTGCTGAGAACACTGAGGACTGGACTTATTCAAGGATGTGGTTTGATGCTTATGTGAGTGACAAAGGGACTCATCCTGAACAAGTCTGGCATAATATCATTCTAGCTGTAGAAACAGGGTAAAGACTCCTAATAACCTAGAGGGAAAGCTTAATAAATTCCAGTGGATTTTTGCCACTACATCCAAACTAACAGACGCAGGAGTAATGATTTCGGTGGGTTTCGCACACGATGACGAGTGACAGCTGCTCAAACGCAAGCTGAACAAAAGTATCCTCAAAGACCGCGAACAGCGGTGAGCGATAGAAGATAAAGAGATGGAAGAGATATCGGCGATAGATAACATCAGTTCACTATTTAGATTCATTGGGGAAACGGGTTGTAGAAGACTTATGATAAGCGACATGAATTCCAAGAAGAACAGTAACTTAATAAACTGTCAGGAATATTTCAAGGACATGTTCACGTACAAATGAAGAATAAAATATCTGACTATGATTGGGAGTGTCAAATGTGTGGGAAACGGTTTTATACGGAGAAAGCATTCGATTCACATATTGGCAATAGGCATAAAATAAATGCTTATAGTCAAAGTCGAACTATTTGCTTAGCTTCATATTGTCCACTACTCCATTGTTCTGTGTTGAAACCAGATTTCGCCTATGGAAATCAAATGTTCTGGGATGAAGCACTTTGCGAGACGGGATCATTTAGTGATATTTCAAAGCAGTGTGAGGTGAGCATTTCCACTCTTTATTTATTTTAATGATGATAAATAATCTAGCTTCCTTTGCCTCATGCGATCTGTATTGACTACTCAACCAACACAACTCAGTAAGTAAGTGCAGGTATTGAATCCTGGCTTGGTATACAACACTAACACAGAATGGACCACAACTCAATGAAAGTTGAGCAATTGAAGTTAAACAGATTTAACCACGTAATTATGCGTCCAAGTGTTACGAATGCATTGCCATCTCTCTATGTTTATCAGAAGCGATTCTGTATACTTTCACATATGTGGGATAACAAGAAACTATCGTTCTAGCAAATAAGAGTATATATATATATATGTACATGGTTCTCACTGGGACTAAAGAACACTAAGTGATAGTATATTTCCAGCATTCCACAATTCTCACGTAGAAAGTCAAGCAAACTATGTGGAAAAGCTCCAACTGATAGCTGCTACCGTGATGTGGTGGTTGTGCTTGCATATCACAATGAACTAACGCGTTACAATGGTTGGAACTTATGTTCCTCAAGCTCCTGTAATGTGCCAGTAAGGTTGCTTGGGCAGCGATTGCGCTAAAAGCAGTTGCCATCATAGTGTAAATTGTTAACACTATGTTCGGCTCTGTGGGTGAGATCGTATTGTTGGCGAATAGGGGGGTGTAAGATCATTAAGGTGTTTCCCTCAGGTAACCGGAAAGTCGGCTGTGCTACCACTTCGCTCTGGGGGTAGATGGGGTTAGGCAATGTCAACCCCGAAAATTATATATCCCGAATTACCTTGTGTTGGTTAGAATCCGGTGTTAATATGCAGACAATCGCGAAAACCACTTCACACAGGTTTTGTGTGACACATCTGAAGTAGTTATCCCCTGGGCTCAACGGTCACACAACACTGATATTCCTTCTGTTCCAGGCACTCCAAGAAGAAATAAACTTCCACGGTGTGTGTCACCAACTGTAAATGAGGTTAACAGGTTTCCCGGCAAAACCATGCAGACTTTAAGTCAGAGAGAGGGTGTATTAGTCATATCTTCGCCTTAGACAGATTCTGGAAAAGTCATGCTTACCACTGTTTAACTCTTGCTATGTTTCCTGAAAAGAAGACGGCATTCGACTGAGAGGTGCTGTGGTAGTGAATGTGAATATTTTCTCTCCTGCACGTTTCCATTCAGTGTTATTTGTATTTTTGCAAACTATATATTGTCTAGCAAATTGGACTGCTGCACTTCGTGTTAAGTTCTGTGTTGAGAATTCAGTGACCGAAGGTGTGATCTACGCTAATCTATTTGAAATCAACGCGTATGGGTAGCAAAGCCTTCCACATTACAGCAAAAAAATTCCTTTTGTTCGACTTGCATCGATTTGCGGATATTGTACGCGGCACAAGTGAGACGGATATGTGGTGTTAAAAGAGTTATGATGGATAACACACCGATATACAGTTGGCTGGAGGCAGCTATTCAGAGGTTCCAAATAGGGCAGTTAGATCACGTAATCTTAACAATGATGGGCAGTTGACGAAAATAAAAACGTCGAAAAAATGTACGCACGATAGGAATGAAACAAAGCAGTCTATATATAGGATTAACAATAGCAATATAATGAAGTGAATGTTAAAATATGTTGGTCACGCAATAGCAAGGGCGGTGAGTTACATAGGAAGGTGAAATTGAGTTGAGAATTATATTTACCTGATGTTTTGTAATTCATGCACAAATTATGAGAGCCTGCCGCGAAAAGACATTCAAATAGCTAACTACACTAAACATAATATAAGTTGGTGAATGGTAAAGTGTAATTTCCTTAGCAACCGTATAATCAACCCGGCCTGATACAACTTCAAAACTGACCAGAAGCATCAACAAGTTTGTTCACTTTCCTCTCCTATAGATGCATACAGACGGACCCAATGATCTAGGGCTGCCCAATCCTTCATAAGTGGAGTAATCGACTACGTATGATAGCAGGCTATGCGTCGGTGGCACAGTGGTTAGGAAGCTCGCCGACCACGCACATGGTCCGGGGTGCGATCCCCGGCCGAGGCACTCCTTTACCTGACTAAGCCAGAAATAAAAGCTGGTAAAGAGAAAAGGCTGGGCATGAGGATTGCAACCCCATCATGTAAAAATAAACACTGCTACAGAAACTTCAAGCCCTCAGCTTGAAGCCCTATGTTCCACTGGGAACGTGAAGGAATAAATAAAAATGATAGCAGGCTAGAATTACACTTGAAACTATATGATAGGAGGAACAAAGTAACAGTTATGTAACACTTACACCCAGTTGGCGATCAATTTCTTCTGGAGCTGTGAACTTTCGTGTTCTGCCTTTGTGAATCCGTTTACCTAGATTTTTAATAATAAAAAACAACCATTTCAGAGTAACTATAAGCCTTAAAGTTCAAACATAATAAAAGAGGTCGCAAATCAAGACGGTATATTTGACTTTAAAGATGAAAATCAGAAGACGTTACTGACGCAGATACCGAGGATTAACCTAGCGTATTGCAAATAACCGATGCTTTATTTTGGATAGAAGTAAAACCCAAAGCAGTTACCGTCATAGTGCAAGCTGCTTACAGTATGGTGGTGGTGCTACATTTCCGACAAAATGATGTTTCTTCTGAACAATTAATGAGACAATTATACGGTCTTCGCACGCTAGAGAAGGAATTAGAAAAGGTTAACGAGAGAATCTAAAACCCCGACCTACATGCTGGTAGTAAAGTTTAGTAAAAATAAAAGCCTTAGAAACTATACTACCTTTAAATAAGTCGTATGTGGTCAGTTTTAAAGATGTTGCCTCGATTTCTGCAGTTTTGAGAAAACTATATGTATACATAATTTCAGTGGCTGAATAAGAAGTCTTGGCCAACCGAACAGACATATTTGGGTACCTACAGACTTTTATGCAAGCAAATAGGAAAGGTAAGCCTGGTGGGATAAATACGTTTCCCTACTGTTATTATTCCCTTGGGTTCCACAGCCAATCTCCATTTTGCCCTGTTCTCTGAATTCCCCTCCGACTGTCCCAAAGGATCTCATTCCCTCCTAAGACGATTTCTTTCACGGCACTCTCGGACGGCTAAATTGTAGTTATTTATTCGGGTTCCAATCAAGGCTTTGTCTAACGCGCGATTTTCACCCAACGGTCCCCTCAGTGTGTGTCCGATCCATCCCCACTTTCCCAAGGATATTTCTTGGGAAGTAGGTTCTCGTTTGACTGCTCCCCAGAGATCCTTGTTGCCAACTTTTTTCCGGCGATCTGACTTTCACTATGGAGCGAAGGCAGCTGTTAACAAAAGTCTGTCTGCAGCCTGTTGGAAATGCTTTTCGTGACGCACCAGGTGTCTAACCCATATAAAACCGCTGACTACACGTTGGTGATAAGAATTCAGATTTCGTCCTTTATACTAAGCTCAATAGTCTTGCATATCGATTTCAGTGTACCTTTTTCATCCTGGTTTTGTCACCCTCATATGTGTCACGTATGGTTGACACAATGCTGACTAGATAAGTGTAAGAGGTTTCTGCCATCGATGGTGATTGTGTTGTTGTTTAGGTATTTTCACCACCTGTATCTTCTCTATGTTCACTTGAAATCCCGTCTTTGCTTCCTGCATCTTCTGTCACTTTGTCTGTTTTGCTGGTATATCTTCAGGTTTGTGTGACACTGTACATAAACCATCCGTGAAGTTCAGTTCTTTCGGAGTGTTCTTGTCGGTCCAAAACACGCCTATCTTGTCACCCCCTATGCACAGTCTGTCACATGATCGATTCCACAATTGGGAATATCACTGGTGATAGTAGGCAACCTTGTCTCTTGCTGTTTTCTTCACTTTAAAGACTTTTCTGAGCACTTTACCTTGAATCACTTGGTATGTGAAATCACCATGTATCTATTGATGAAGATCTGGGGTACCGTGTGGTGTTGAAGTAATTCCCACACCACTTTGTGGTTAACGCTATCAGATGCCGTTATGAAAGTCGATTAAAATGAAGTGATTTTACTGCCACTCTGTTCGATGACGATTCGTACAGCTGCGATCTGACCTGCTTTTCCAAAGTGTAGTTTTTCCCGGCCGAGTTATGCACTCAGTTCAATTTTAGTCTCTCCAAGATAACACGACTTAATATTTTGCTCGGTGTGGACAACAGTGTGTTTCTGCGCCTGTCTTTACAGAGGCCTAAATCACTCCTTCGGTAACGAGGAAAGATTGCATTTCTTCAAATCCGTACGTACATTTCATCACCCTATCCTAGGCGACAACTAAATATAAGGACTCTAGTAAAATTTTCATACCAAATACAGTCACGAAGGGGACAGCAACTTTAATAACAATTTTTCAGGAGAGATAAATGCATAACAAATCGAGTAGCAGTTTAACTGGCGTACACCCTGAGCACAGTTCTCCATAATTCAATGGAAATCTTGATGGAATGCAGACATCGATTCTCTGGTCGCTTAGGTATGACATGAAAACCCTATTATTTTAACGTAACAGTATTTCGACGTGGCAGTGAACTGTCATGAAGAAAATAAGGTGTTAATTAATGCATGGCAACCTGAGCTCCACCCCATCATTTATAAATGAATATATTCATAAAAAGGGGGATAAATATTCTAGTGATCAACAACTAGTTAAAACGAAATCAAGTTGACAGCAAGATGATCATTTGAAATAAAATCAACAGACATATTTATGAACAACATAAATTAAGTTTCATGATGGGAAACACGATCAAAATGAGAAGTTTTCCGTCACCAGGAGAGTCTTCCTAAATTTCACCAGAAATTCTCATTTCCCCAGTTACAATTTGTAAGTAATTTGTGAAATTTGTCGGACATCGTGGTGTTTGACTCTATTATGAGACACACATGACAAATAAAATATTTTCTTGGAGTCAGAAACATTGGAAACTAACGAAATCATTTCATGTTTCTCATAAACTACTCCAACAGCTTAATGTTAAACCGAATTCTCTAAAATACTAAGAACACACCTCTCATGTTGCTGAAATGAGTTTCCCGCCAAGGTCAGTAGGTTTCCTAATTATAATCAAATTTCAAATTTACTGGTTGGAGATAGAAAGCTTGAAGTCTATGTTAATTCTCTTCTAATAAGTTTCTGAGCTTATATAAATGCTTCTTGAACAAGCTAATTGACGGCGCTGACACCACTTATTCTGACATTTGGTTCTAGGAGCATATGACTTGGTGGAAGAATCTGTGCTCTTCGGTGGTATAGTTCCTCCTTGACTTTTGAACTTTCTTCATTCCCACCTTTCTTAAAGTGTTACGGCTTCGTGACGAGGAAAAAGGTGAGATATATTAGGTCCATAGCCATTTCTTAGAATTCTAAACATTGTGATGAAATTTCCTCTCTGCTAGTGGTATAACAAAGAAAAGAGATTTTGATTGATAAGTCTTTCCTCTTATAATAATTTGGCCATGCCAAGATTCATAGACATTACCTTTCTTTGAAAAATTTCTAGAATGTATGAATCCCCCTTAAGAAAGTGGGTGGCTGCCTGGATGCAGTTTTCCAGTTGTGTCCACACTGGAGATGTACAAAAAGAAGTGAACATATCCTTGGGGATTCCAGTAGACGTATTGCGCAATAAGTGATAATCTGAAATATCTAGCTGACACGAAGCGGCAGTGTGCAGCAGTTTTTGGGTATTGAACTACTGTGACACCTAGATCCATTGTGGTCTGGACTAGTTGGAGCCTTATTTCCTCGAGCTAACGCCTTTGTGTCAAGTCTGCAGGGATGAGCACTTCGCTACATTGATTGATGGCATTCATTCTCTGGACCGATCTAGCAGTTTGTTGGGATCATGTAACGTGAGCACATGATCATCAGCCCACATCTATTCAGATTTTTAGGTCATCTCCGTAGAAAACCACCTGAACCCAGATAATTCACCTATGTAAAGGATACATAAAAGAGGGCTGAGTTAAATGCCACGTGGAACTCTGATACGTGCTGTTTTGCAGGAGTTTTCGGGCTAATCTTAATTCTGCCTCCTACGTGTGAGGAATTCCTCAATACAGCTGTAAATGTACCGGCTTCAAAGACTTTCAACTCACTGATCTTCAAGCTCGCACTGTTGTCAGAAAACCAATAGACGCAACTTAGAATACTATAAACTGCAACCAACTTGGAAATGACATAAATAAATTGGTGATGCGAAGACTGTTTATTGTTTCAGAGACAATACATCAGCACGATAAGACAATGACAGCACAAATGACTACAATACTAAGAGGTTCAACTTCGAAATGACACGGATTCGAACGGTCACAGGTTCAGGATTTGCAGCTCCAAAGTCTATAAATATACACCTATATGATTCGCGATGATATTGATGATTTTACTGTTTCAGTCTTCTGCCAAACAGCAAGCGACTAGATCACTGTAAGAATTGTCCCCTTCAACGGAAGTGAAACTTGTCTGAGTATGCTAGGTCACTTGACATTCATTCATTGTTAACAACACTGATTGTAGTTGAAAGCCCCCCCCCTTGGTTCAAAATCTTTCAAGTTTCGCGAGCAGATTTGGTTAATGTATTTTGTCGGAAGTTTTGCTGAAGCCTGAGAACATGATATCAGTGGATTTCTTTTTGTCCCTTAACTTGATCCAACTTTCTCTTCCCTTAAGATCCCTAGGCCATGAGAGGTTTTCTCGGAAGCCATGCTGTGTTCTGGACAATTTGTCGTTTAAAAATGTCAAGATAGCTTTCTTATATATCATACCAGTTTGTGATAAAAAGAGTTGTCAGAGGATAGCGTTATAAGGCCCGATCAACTGGTGAGTCACTGAAGTGACAGACTATAAAACTCCGACACATGGATGCCCATGAGCCTAGTTTATCCAACAGAAAAACGTCAGCGCTGTAATCAGGGCTGCGAAACACTGAGACGGAGTTGGTGTTTTGCTCTATATGTCTTAGTCTGCTGAGTAGACTATTAAATGATCTGCTTTCACGAGCGAAGGACTCAATGCTGGCCAAGGCGAGGTGCCTTGTGAATATATCCTTGTCTGAAGTTAACAAATGGTCATATTGTTGATTTTAGTTTTCAAATGCGAACAAGACCTGCATGGACCGATTCAGTCCCATGATTCCTGTAGTATTGGCGGCACTGTGATAGGGTGTATGTCAAATATCTCTCATCCCGATATCTGTTTCTCTTCAAATCTCTGTTGGTTGTCTCATATCCAGTTGACTTTTTTCGTTTAACTTACTATATGAGAAAGCTGAAACTTTCTGTGATAACCCAACCTTTTCTATTACGATTTGTTAATTCATGTATTCTGCCCATTAATAATAATATATTCTCAGTTTTTGTACATGGGGGATGCCAGTTTACAGGCATCATCAATATGATAAATAACATGCACAAGGAGTAAGCATATTTACGGTTTTTCACCTACACAAGATTTACATAAGAAAATGTAATAGAATTATACCTATGATGTAGCTTTACACAGGTGGACACGATGTGCACAGTACAATACAAAGAATCTCCATTGAATAAATTTAACCAAAATGCGTGTCATACTCTCCTTTATTGTTCGCCATTATTTTGCCTGGACTTCTCAAAAAGACTATGTCTTATTACGTGGAACACTGAAGATTGTAAGTCGGGTTAGTGGAATGACTTTTAATCACCTGAATAACACTATTGTCAATAGACACTTCAATTCTTCAAAACATATGCCTAAAGTTTTCTTGTCTGATATTGAACATTCTCTTTATTCTTCAGGAAGAACCAGAAGAAACGTCGTACAACCATACAAAAAATTCCACCGTATCATAATTAGCACGGGTTTTGAGTGAAGAGAGAATCATGTCAGAAAAGAACTTACAAACATTTTAAATCAGTAACTGGATCGCATAGTGTAAGCAAACATGCATTACATGGATAATCTATGATATTACCTTCTTATCCTTGATTACGTTTAAGCCAGAATTCTGTTTATAGTTATTTCTTTATTATTATTGTCACTGTTTTAAATTTTATATATGCACATATTTACGAAAGGGGCTAAGTTGTTGCAAAATGTATCAAGGTACTGTAAATTGCAATCCATGTGACTATTATTGTTCGGAATAAAGCGATTATTTTTATTAGATGGCTATTCCACCCCTTTTGCGGTATAGTCAGTCTGCCATGTGGACGGCGAATTTTTAGAGGTTAACTTCACTGTTGCTGACGTAATTGTAGTCACGACTCCATAGTGGTGGCGTTCGAGTTTTCAGACTTTTCCAAACAACCTAGTTCAATCCATTTGCTTAGCAGACTGCAGGGGTCAGTGTAGCAGGCTGCTAACTTAGTTTTGTGAGCTAACGTTCCATCCATAGGGGTCTGATAGTCACCGGACCCCCAGCACTTACCACTCAGAAACCCTCAATAATGGTGTTCTTCTCACCATTCAGGTGCCATTAGCTTAATACCAGTGCCACAGACTGTCTTTTGATGCGGTCTGCTGGGTGTAGATGAATGAATATTTGAGCCTGGGCATTGCTCAGAATTGCACCCCAGTCAGTTTTTAGAATTAATATGACTCTGAGGAGGCGTACCGACTGATCTGCTACAGAGTCAGACCTTTGGCCAATTCTATGCAAACTATGAATGGTTTTTCCTATGACGTTTGTTGGGAGTAGGTTATCTAAGATTGTTTTGACCAGGCTGAGGTTGTATTTAAACCTGGCCTTGCGGTTGCAAGTCCAAGATTCCTCAACTTTATGGAGAGTGAGTAACCTGTCGGGGGATTAGGTTGGCTTAGATTGGCCTTATTGTCCTGGGATTACTTTATCTTCCCGTCATTCATGAATGGTATGCCCTTTGTAGTAATGCTGTTTCACATTTTGAGGTAGGCTAAATCACGTCATTCATTGACGCTCTCTTTGCCATTAGACTTCGGTTGTGACTGCTTACTATCCGCCTGCGGCCCTGTTGAGGGTATAACTACGTACCCAGCGGCCCTCCTTCTGTAGGTTTCAGACCACTACTGCTCCTCTTCCTTCTGGCAGCACTTTGTAAATTCGAGTTAGTTTCCCTTAGCGCCATTTTACCGCAAATACCTGAGAGCCTAACATGGATTGTACAGAGAATGTCGGTGTCCTGCAAAGGTTAATTTTCCCCGTATGACGAGTGATCTTCACTTCTTGACAGCGACGCATAGAGTATCATAGAGTATCTCATCAATGACCCTGTTATCGTCATTGGTGTCTGAGAGTTCTTTGAGATCCTCCTGAAAAGGGGAAAACTTAAGGTTCAGAATCTGCAATGTCCATTTAAGGATTCCAACGTCTTCTTTTGTACTATGTTCGGTTGGGCTGCAACAGTCATTGCACAATGAGTGTGCGAGGGGCCTGTGACAACGCTTGTATGCCCAGGGGGTTGGCTGTTGCAGGTATGGAACCATCGATTACAATTGTCACACTCCATGGCACTCCCTAAAGGGTACTAACTTGTGAATCTTCAGTAAGGGTTCTTTTCAATGAGTATATTTTAAAAAAATGAGTGCGTCCGTCATGGCGCTTGCCTGCAGTAGCTTTAGCAGACTCCGAGGAAAATAGTGTGATCCGGTTTACAGATTGCCGGATGTCAAAAACGTGGCATGACTGTGATTGGAGTTTGTTCTTTCGCGTCCGCCTGTAAAGTGCTCCAGTGACTTTCGACTCAAAACGAAGAGTAGAAACAGGTGAGGCACTCCAGTATTTGGTCGTATAAGCCTGAATTTTTCATGGATTATCATGATGAATCCTCGATAGCCAAAAAGCAGAATACATTTGCTGAATGCATTCTGATCACTTCAACCACCGGAGCACTCATTAACCCACTTGATAATAGTGAAAAGACCTAATTTCGGGGAATTTATGCTAAGTGGTTTCTGCTACAGGACCATGACTTCTTTTATCATCCTTCTCTGCTCCTTTTCCGTGGGTTGCAGTCTCTTTTAAGCACGTTGGAACAATAACTTTTATAGCTTAAGTAAC